CGCCGACGTCTCTACTCGATTTTATACGTCGGCGAGTTGACGTCGGCGAGTTGGTCCGTCGGCGAGTTGACCGTAATTCATTTTAATTAGTCACTTTAGGGGGTTGAAGGGTAAAACGTCTAATTTAGAGATAGAGAGGTTTTTTTTTTGCAAATTTAGATATGATATTTTCTCCTGAATTTTTCTACTGAATGATAATGATGATCTTTTGAACTTGCTTTTCTGGTCCCATGTTTTCATGAATATTAATTGGTCACATTTGAGATCAGTCACTACTTTCTCCCACCAAACAAAGCAGATGTCCTGAGAAATTCTTAATGTTACTGCTATTACATTAATACAGCTTCAAAGAATGATAGAATTAGTAATGTGCACACACACTGGCTATTTGAAACAAACTGATTTACAACAGCATTTTAGATGGTATAACATCGCTGTCATAATATGTTTTTGTAAATACTTTGTAAAATTGTGGCAGTGATGCACAATGATTTGAGAGTTTGTGATGATATGTATTCAGTGTTATTTTAAGCTCATTGATATTTACATATCTGATTATCTACACTCTTGATTATTCTAAATACTTCCCACAAGTCCAGATAATAAAAAAGCCTTTCGTCTTACGTCACCAAAATTTCAACGAAAATCAAAGAATAGGAAAGTTTCACAACACTGCAGTATGTTGTTTCATTGCAGTTATGAGAACCTTTCCAATTACTAATACCATCAGTATCTCTGAGAAAATACTTCTCCTTGGCCCAAATGTGTGCATTACCTCAAAGGCGTGGTTTTTAACCCTTTAAACTCTAAGAGTGACTTGCATCTAATTTCTCCTTGTAGTAAAACTGCTGAATCATTCATTAAGATTGTGACAATAAAGGAAATGATCCCCAATGTAAGAAGCTTTGATTGTTAAACAAATTCTCCATGTCAGTAACAACAGGAATTTATAGAGAAAAGTATAGAGAATATGGATACTGATGTTAGGGTGTAAAGGATAAAGCCACATTGATTGGAAAGTGGATGTAGATTTTGACAAATATAGTTTTAAATTGGGCATGATATTTCAAAGGAACCATCAGAGATAAACAAACCATGTTGTTGTATTTTGAACTCTGAGTGCATAATACAGTCAGAGAAAAACAAGATCTCAAAACAGAACACTGAATTTTCAAGAGAGTTTTAAACATTCTTAATTTCCGCACAGATGCAAAGGTTAATTATTTTGCAACAAAGGGCCAAATCTGAAAATGATGTCATGTTTTGGTCTAAATTGAGACTCTCTCTGCTCAGAATTGCGAGAAGTATCTCTCCCCCCCTCAAAGTCTAGTATCACATCCAATAATCTTATCAGCCTTTATAATTGTCTTACATGCACATTTTGCAATTAACTTGAGTAGGTGATAACCATTAGAATTAGACTTAGAACCGTTAGAAATTGAATTTTCGTTTTTAACTTATGTATTTTAAGAATAACCAGATGTGTCGATACTAGTATCTAAAAACATAATTTTACAATCTGAGGCAATTTTTCAATACATTGAATAAACATTGCACCTCTTCACAAACAATACGTTGTATCTGTCAGCTTATTACTGAATATTCATAGGGCTTTAGAAGTGGTGCTGAAGAAACAATAGCATGCCATTCAGCTCTTTCAGTTAAGACCTATGAAACCGTGATGGTGAATATAAAATAATTCATTCTTACATGGAAAAGAACATAGGCTTAGTTATTGAAAGCCTTTGATTATTGCACCTATAAACAGCTCGCAGATGTGACCAATATTTCCAAAAAAAAACATTTATGAAAAACTGCGTCGCATGTACCAAGTTCACTGGTTCGCAGATATTTCTCGGAAAACCGTATTTCGTTGAAAATCGCATCAAACTTGGACATCAGTCACGCTCACTAACTACGGTAAATATCCTGAATGGAACATTTCTGTAGTGAACTAAAACACACCTGTAATTGTAAGTGAGGCCGTGCCAACTCCTCTCTTTCGCTGTTCGTCCAATAGCCCAGACAAATTTCGAGAAGCGCACGCCGAAAATTGCGCGCCATCGAGACCGTCATTGCTACCATTGCTCGGCGTTCCGCTCAGAGCGCCACTTGGTACGTAAAACATGGTCTTTACTTTACGCAACAACGGCTGAAAAAAAGGCTAACAATACACTTAACCTTGTTTGAGGCATTTCTGATGGAATATTTCAAGGAAAACGATGTAATGTTTTGGTCGTGACGTATCGTGACGGAACCGAGCCGACAGTTCGTGACCAAAGTTTGTTTTACAGCGGTCACTACCATTAGCCTTATTGGTTCCAGACCTCTACTTCGGGCTGCGAAACAAGATGGCGAACAGTTCTGGAGAATGTCCACCGTTGTATTCCTCCTTGGAAAAGATCTATTTAGCATCTACAGATAAAGCATTGTCGAGGTTAGAGATCTGGGTTACTTTTTCTCGTTACTTAAAGCTGATTTTTCTTTCAGGACCCGAATTTAGCGTAATTTCCTTATTTTGCTCCTTCAACTTCCGGTAACAGGTTTCGCACCTAAAATCATCGGTAGTTGATTTTCAAGATCGTCCCTTTGTAATGATGATTGTCATGTTATGCTCGAATATGGTGGAGTAGAAATTTAGCGCTAAAATTCAGGGGAAAACAGCATGATTTTTCCAAGGAAAAAAATTTAAAGATTTGAATTTTAATACTGTCAGGTACCGACACTAGCCGGTCTGTGATTATGTCACGTGATGGGAAATGGTTCCAGAAGAAACCGAAGACTTGTAACGCTTGGTGTTATGCTGCGCAAGATTTCCCTACAGCCCCATAATTCATTATACATACAGTTCTTAAATAAAGAAAAGATTGGCGAAAATAAAAGACTGCTTTTAGGACAACGGCTTTGTTTTAGATTAGTATGGGGTTAGACGGAAATCTTTCCGAAAGATGAATGATATTTTATATCTTTTAGTGCAAGAAGGGAAAATATCTGAAAGATTTGAGGTAGAGAGATAATTCAGAAATAAGGTTTTTCTTTAACTATCCCATCCGCTAAATTTTTGCAAGCTACAGAATATGCACAATGGCCCCTCATCATTCCTTGTAGAGTATTATTTGCAGAGAATTACAGAGGTTTATCACCATGTTTTTGCAACAGATTATACTGTTGGTACAAATTTAATTTATGGTTTGAGGAAAATTGTTTCATAATTTGGTTTGGTAGACAAACAAGGTTTGAAAATCATATTAATTTACTAAATTACACTAAAGTCCTTACAGTTCATCAGTGTAAAGTAGGGGCACCTAAACTATGGAAACCAATTCGAGGGCAGAACTGAAACAAGAGACACCAAAATTTGAAATTCAGCCAATAAAATTGTGGTCACAGAACAAAGATATCTCAACTTGTTGAGTTGTAGTATTTAGTTAAAGGTAATAGTTAACCCTTTAACTCCCATGAGTGACCAAGAGAGAATTTCTCCTTACAATATCAATACAATATCAACTAGATAAGTGATGAGAATTAAGAAAAATATCAATTTGGGGATAATTAGTTGATTCAATACTTAATTCTCTGAACTAACATGATAAGAATTGTATGGTTGACAGAAAGGAGAATTACAAATTTGATCTGGGAGTTAAAGGGTTAAAGGTAACGATACTGTCCTTCAAATGATAAGTCCAAGTGTTGGTCCTACCACAGATATTAACATAAATGGAACAAAACCTGTGCAAAATGAATTCTCTTGATCACACTCTAACAATCTGTATGTAAATTTAAGCAAATGTAGTGTGTTTAACTATGAAACATGACTGCAGAAGAAGTTCTAAGCTTATCCATTCCTCTTTTGCTTTAAACCAGAGCAGTAAACTTCCATACTTTACAATTTCTGAAAAAAATTCTGCCATTGTATTTTTGTATTGCCATGGTTTCTTGCATCAGGCTGTGAAAATTTGAGGCATGCATTGTATGTTACTCAACTACCTATGATATCTTACGGTTTCTCTCTTTTTTATAAGATATGAGAAGATCAAGGAGGCATTTCATAGCAAGTTTGGCTGTTCTCCAGAGTTCTATGCAAGAGCCCCTGGAAGAGTAAACATTATTGGTAAGGGATACTATGTTTGCTTGTGTGGTCATACATGTATGTGGTAATTTAAAACAAATTGCAGGTCAAAATTCTCATAGCTGGAAGCTATTCTAACTTCCCATTGCTCCAAAAATAATTTACTGTAGTTCTTAAACACAGAAAAATATACATCAAACAAGTTTTACTTCATTTTTACTTGAAATCATTTTAAATTGGAATGTTTATACTCTGTGTTGCTTGAGGTTTCATTGTGTTAGCAGCATTTCTTTCACAAATATCTATGTGCCCATTGTGGAGCAACACATTTTCACATATGTTATCATTTTGCACTCAGTGCAAAATTTTGTACTTACCAAATATAATTCACCAATTTTCTATATTATATAGCTGGTGGTTTTTTGTGTGTTTTGAAGCGTTGAGTGGTAGAGCAGTAGTTTCTCCCACTTTAGCTCATTCCAAACTTCTCTTCACTTGTTCCTTAATGTCTCAAAGTGGGCTCAAAACCACTATCAATGCAGGCTTTTAATTTGCCATATTACGTATATTTAACAGGAGAACACATAGATTACTGTGGTTATGGAGTGTTACCAATGGCTGTAGAGCAAGATATTGTGATAGCAGTGGCAGCTAATGACCAAAAAATGCTTAACATATCCAACACATTTGAAGACTTCCAGTAAGTAATAAGGCATAGAGATATGTTATGGAATAAAAGAGAAAATTCCAAAATGTCTTACGACATAAATACATGTAGATCAAACCGGTGAGCAAGTAAAAGAACAGACATTTATCAAATTCCAAACTTTCTATGTTACTAATTTGCAAATTTAGAAAGGAGGGTTACCGAACAAATAAGCTCCAGGGAGATGAGGGGGTTTACTAGTCATTTTGAAAATACTCATAAAAAGATACTAGGTTGACCTTAGGTAAGAATATTTTAGATTTAAACATCTTAACCCCTACCTTTCATTTTGTTAACTTCTAACTAAGTCACCTGTTGATATTTGCGATGTTATACAACTCAGAAACTTCATTCTGCAACATGATATGTAAATTTGAGGGAAAAATAAGTGTTTAAATAACAAAGAAAAAGACTCTTGTCCACTCATCATCTTAATTAACAACTCCTGTGATTTAGAGTGCAATACAAATAACAACCCTTAAATGAATTTTTCATAAAAACACAACCACACCTATGTTTGATGTAATTTGTCTTTATCCTTTCCACTTGGGATTTATCAGTGACCTGAAACAGGCCAAATTGCTTCACAATCAGTGAGCAGTTTTTAGTAAATCGTAAAACTGTGGATAGCATTGAAGGTGCACTCTGATTGGCTACTCAAACTCCAAATATCCTTTCAATATGTCACTGTTTTAGCATATACTTAGTAAGAAACTATATCACCTCGGAGTCAGTAGCCTGGTTGGATATTTACCTCTGTCACTATTTCACAGCCTGGTGCATATCCCCCACCAAACACTTCCATTTTAGTGAATAGTTTTCAAGTACTGCACAATTAAAAATGTATTTAACTTTTGTATCCATTTTCTTGTTTCAAAATTCTTTTATCAGGGATTTCAGTGTGGGCTGTGAAGATTATAAGATTGATGGAAAGGAATGGTATCATTATTTTCTCTGTGGCTATAAGGTGTGAATGAAAACTTTTTTTTTGCTTAACTGTACCCTCTTGAAGTCTCTTCATGTGATTAATTATCATATGATAACAATAGTGCTTAATATAATCATGATGATTATTATTCAAACATATCAGCTATCTTACTATTGTTACCTGTCTTTAAATTTTTTAGGGGTTAGTGGATCATATGAAGATTGAATCTCCAGTTGGATTGAACCTTGTTATAGATGGAACTGTTCCAAAGGTCTGAAATGTCAACGTGAAATTATTTAGTCACTCATTTAACTTTCTATCAGCAACAACTTACTCTTCCTTATAATTTCATATTTCATTTTTGAAGTTAAGGAATGGGTGACCACTGATGATGTTTTTTTGACGACGCTTATGATTTTGTCTCTTTTTCATCAGAGTGCAGGGCTTTCAAGTTCATCAGCTTTGGTTTGTTGCTCAGGTTTGGCCACACTCCATGCCAATGGGCTCAAGCTTAGTAAGGTGTGTACCATCAACTAGTTAAACTAGAATTTTTATGGTGGAGTGACTCTCAAAATAATGTGGATGTTCATCATTTGAGTTAAAGTTACCATGACACATTTTGATCTTATACCATCAGAGCAAAACTTTACATTTTCTGCTATGAATTAACAAAGTATCCTTAAGGGTTTAAAATACTAATTAAAACAAACTTAAATTGTGATCACTCACTTTTAACCAGGTCAACTTGAAGGGAAATATTTTCACAAACACTTAAATTCTAATTTCTTTTTGCTGGTGAACTCTTTATTTTTTTTTTAAATAATCCAAACTTTATGAAAAGTCTATATTTTAAAATCTGTTTCTTTTATGCTTAACAGCATGAACTTGCTGAGATATGCACAAAATGTGAGCGCTACATTGGGACTGAAGGAGGAGGGTAGGCAAAGAAAATCTAACACATAAACCATTACAAAAAAACTTTAGTGACTTCTTTTTTATGCCATGTACATGTTTGGTAATATATTTGTGAGAAAGATATCATAATGGTAGCATAGTAGTCAGTGTGTTTAAAGGTCCTACCTCTGGCTAGGATCATTATGTGGTATTCTTTGGTAGGACACCTACCGGTAAATCTCATAGTATGTTTAGGACTAGTTTATCTATTTGCACCAGAATATTGTCAAGTGGAAGGGTAGCAAAGTTCTAGGGGGTAATCTGTGATATTTCAATTATTGTTCAAAAGGAGTAGTAATAATTTAAGAAGCCTGTGGGAAAGATGTCCCTTTTTGCAATTTTTCAGGAAAGTAAGGCCAGGGTGAGGGAAGCATGAGCAGAGAGCAAAGGGCAAGTCTTGAGCAATGCCCACTCCTCACCCACACTTTGCACTTGCCTCTACTCACCTTAAAAAAAAAGTGACAATTTTTTTGCAGGCTTAGCTCCTACTTACTTCAGGCTCCTGAAACTGCATTCAGCTTCTGCAGCTGTGTGAATCAGTCTGAAGCCCAAGCTTTGTAAAAATTTACCAGTTTACTGTGTCACTAATTCACAGTGAC